GCCCAGCGCTGCCAACTTAGGTGTTGGCGATGCTGCAGGCAAGCCGCGCCGACGACAGGGCCGATCCAGCAAAGCTAAGTCCAGGGGAAGGAAATCGGGTGCTTTCTTTTTGTGGGAGGCTTGCCCGCCTTCGCCCGATTGTCGGGGGCCGTGTTGCTCGTCGGGTTTTTGCTTCGGGATCTATGGCCAGTAACTTGTTCGGGGCCGACATGGGGCCACGGGTTTCGAGCTGTTGAATTTCCGTCGGCAGGCGGCATCAGTTTTTCAACCGTCGGCCAAGGGCCGATCTCTCGCGTGTTTGCTTCTGGCATACCAGGAGCTTCGCTGGCTTGCGGCGGCGGCGCCGATTGTCCGGTGGGCCAAGGAAGCTTGGATTTCCCACCGCGCTTTGCATTATTTTGCTCTGCCTTTTTCCCGAGCTCAGCGAGGCTTCCGTGGCGGGTTGCCCGGGGGGGGGGGGGGGGCGTCGGGCCTCTGGAAAAACGTTTCGGGCCCCGTTTCGGCTTTGCGGAAACCGTGCGAGAGAATGTATTGGTCCATGGTTTCTTTTGCCACCATTACGACATACCAAGGTGATAAGATTGCGCTGACCTCAGACTCGCCTCAGCCCCTCAAAACGTTTATATATAAATATAAATAAGGCTGTGATCAGAAGTTTGGTGTGGGACCTGGGGGCCAAACTTGGTCTGCCTGGGAGGGCTTGCGTCGAGGGAATATTGCGTTGGCCCCAGTGCTCTCGACTCACTCCCTTCCAAAAGGGTTGTGTGAAGGCCTTGTTTTGTAATGCCATATGCATTAGGCAACGCGCAGCTGACCTAGGTTATGGCCTCTCCTGCGCGCTGTGCCCGCTGTGCTTCGACGCTCCTGGCACACTTAGGCATCGCTTGTAGCAGTGCGCGGCTGTGGAGGCCGAGAGGGAGGACTTGGTTAAGGTCAAGGTTAGGAGGTGGACGGGGGAGGCGGACGACGCCCTCGCGTGCTTCGGCGTCTTCTTGCACCCATCGGAGCATTTCCCTCGGCATTTGCAGTATGGAGGAATAGAGATTGAGTGGGTCAAGAAGCCAAGTGTCGATGCCACTCTTGACAATGCTTTCGCTGGGGATATTTTCACGGACGGTTCTCGCAGTGAGAGTATTGTTTCCGAGATGGACAGAGCAGGTTGGGCCTTCTCCCTCTGGCAGCGTGACACTGGTCTCGAGATTGTGCGCGCCCGTGGGCCCGCACGGCCGCCTAGCCCGCAGACTCCTCAGACTGCTGAGTTTCGCGCATATTCCATAGCTCAGCAATGGTCTACTGGCCCGTGCGAATTCTGTGTGGATTGCAGGGCCTGCGTAGACTTCCATGGTCTGCCGTGGGCCGAGCAGTGTTCCCCCAAGCGTGCAGACGCTGGGGTTGCCCAGCATTGCAGATCGTTTTCCCAGCAGTGGGGTGCGCACAGCGTCAAGGCTCACCTCGACGTTGGAGGGGCCGAAGGTAGCTGGGAGCGCTACCTGCGCGAAGGTAACCGCGCTGTTGATTTTTCGGCCAAGAGGGCCCTGTTGTTGCATCCCCAGCCTGACGTGGAGCAGGCGGAAGAAGTGGATCGTTATTTGGCTGTGGGGAGAGCTATGGGGCTCCTTGCTGATAAATTGATGAGGCTGTGGCCTCGCCTTGATCTGGGTCCGAGTGCGGGGCGGATCCCCGTGCCAGCTCAGCGGAGCGAAGGACAGGGCCCGAGACATGTTTGGGCTTGGACTGGCAGGTTCTGGCAGTGTTCTCGTTGTTTTCGTGGTTCGCGATCAACCGACGAGCCAGCCGCTAGCTTCTGCAAAGGAGGCCCAGGTGTCGGAATTCGTGGCATGGATGCTCCAGCTTTCGCGAGTTTGGGGCACAGAATGTTGCTCCTGGACGCCAGCGGCAATAGGTGGTGTTTTCATCTGTCTGCGGTGCAAGAACTACACTGACGGTGGCCAGGTACGTGGATTGCGCCAACAATGCTCGCCTCTCCCCGCTATCGGGGCCCAGGGGCGCAGGTGCGCTTGGAAGCTGATTTGTGCGGGGTCCCACCCTACGAGGAGCGGGGTCACGGTCTCCGTGGGGCCCTGGTGCAAGGAGGAGGAGGGGGTCCCCACTCTCTCGGTCGAGCCTTCCCTTTCTCGGCCCCGGAGGTGGAGGGTGCACGCGAGCAGCGCAGGGCAGCCGTGGCCCAGCGCTTGCTCGCTGCCGCGAGCTCGAGCGCGCCGCGACCGAGCTCGATTTGATCGTGCTCGTTGCCGATGGTGTGCTGGCCGGGAAATATTTGGTTAGTTTCTGAAATTGGCTTGCCAATGCGCACGGGTACGACTATTATTTTTGCCCCGAGGCTCTCGCCCCGCCTCGAGGTCACCTGTGGGTTGCCATTTGCGCTGCTGCAAAAAAATAATCCTCCTTCTCCTCCTCCTCCTCCTCCTCCTCCTCCTCCTCCTCCCTCCTCCTCCTCCTCCTCCCCCCCCTCCTCCTCCTCCTCCTCCTCCTCATCCTCCTCCTCCTCCTCCTCCGCTCCTCCTCCCTCCTCCTCCGCCTCCTCCCTCCTCCTCCTCCTCCTCCTCCTCCTCCTACTCCCCCTTCTCCTGCCCGCTCCTTCTCATCCGCCGCCTCCTCCTCCTCGTCCTCCTCCTCCCTCCTCCTCCTCCTCCTCCTCTCTCCTCCCCCTCCTCCTCCCCCTCCTCCTCCTCCTCCTCCTCCTCTTCCTCCTCCTCCTCCTCCTCTCTCCTCTCTCCTCTCTCCTCTCTCCTCTCCTCCTCCTCCCTCTCTCCTCTCTCCTCTCTCGTCCTTCTCCTCCTCCTCCCCCTCCTCCTCCACCTCCACCTCTATATCCTCCTCCGTTTCCTCCTCTTCCTCCTCCTCCTCCTCCTCATCATCATCATCTCATCATCAGCATCATCATCATCAGCATCAGCATCACCATCATCCCCCTCCTCCTCCTCCTTTTCCTCCTCCTCCTCTCCTCCTCCTCCTCCTCCTCCTCCCCTCCTCCTCCTCCTCCTCCCCCCCTCCTCCTCCTCCTCCCCTCCTCCTTCCTCCCTCCTCCTCCTCCATCCTCCTCCTCCTCCTCTCATCCTCCTCCTCCTTCTCCTCTTCTTCTTCCTCCAACTCCTCCTCCTCCACCTCTCTTTCGTCATCCTCCTCCTCCTCTTCCGCTTTCCTCCCTCCTCCTCCTCCTCCTCCTCCTCTTTCTCCTCCTCGTCCTCCTCCTCCTCCTCCCCCTTCTTCTCCCGCCCCTCCCACCCTTCCTCCTCCCCTCCTCCTCCTCCTCCTCCTCCTTCTCCTCCTCCTCCTCCTCCCTCCTCCTCCTCCTCCTTCTTCTCCTCCTCCTCCTCCTCGTCATCCTCCTCCTCCCTTCTCCCGTACGCGGGGGGCGGGGGGGGGGCCGGTCCCCCACAGGCGCGGTGCTCACAGGGTTCGGGCATGCATGTTTTGGTGCTCACATTCATGCTTTGGCGCTCGTTGGTCCGACTCTCCACCCCCCGCGTAATGGACGTTACGGGGGGGAAGTACAAGCAAGTATTGCGGCCCCCGAACCGCCCGATCTTCGAGATTCCCGATGATTTTATCTTCAGTCCGATTCTGTCCCGGTCCTGGCCTCGTCTTAGGGGTAGCTGAAGCGTTGACGGCTGGGGCAGCGACGATCCACACGCCGGGGATCTATCCATATCCACCGATAGTAGGCATTATTGCTCGCGAGGACGTCGCGGAGCGTCAGATGGGGATGGCTTTCGCTCTGAGGGGGTGGGGCAAGCTATCCATATCCAATTCTTCGCTAGATCCTTTGGGTTGCATCTCCAAGCGGCAGATATCGACACATCTCCGGCGTGCTTGTGTCTGTCAATGCGTGCGTTCAAACACCTTCTTGGGGACCGACTTTTCATCCAGAATCGTTTTTCGATTGCCTTGTGACACAGTCTAGACGGCCCCCCAGAAGCCGAGAGTAGCGACATATTTCCGCCTTGATCTTCTCGAGACGCTGGAGGTCTGGAGAGGTTTGGGCTCGAGGGTCAAGTGTCGACCTCCAGATCACTCCTGGGATGCGTTCTGACTAGCATTTGAGGAATCCAGCGGTGGTGATGCGGAGCCTCCCAGTGGCCCCCCAAAAGGCACAAAGCGTCCCAAACCCTAAACCTGCATCCTGAAGGCTCGAACCCTGAGAGGGGTGATCTGGGTATACTTATCCGCGCCCGGAAAGCTGACCCCAGGAACTCTCTTGGCATGCGTTCTGGGCACCATCCCACTGCGAATCCGGCCGTGGCGATAAGGAGGCCGAGAGGAGGCCGAACGCCTTCAAAACTTTCATTCCCGATTCTCGATCCGCCAGGAGCAGGAGGAGGACGACGAGGAGGAGGAGGAGGAGTAGCACGAGGAGGAGGAGGAGGAGGAAGTACGTAGGGGGAGGAGGAGGAGGAGGAGGAGGAGGAGGAGGAGGAGGAGGAGGAGGAGAACGAGGAGGAGAACGAGGAGGAGGAAGAGGAAGAGCAGGAGGAGGAGCAGGAGGAGGAGGAGGACGAGGACGAAGAGGAGGAGGAGGAGGAGGAGGAAAAGGAGGAGGAGGAGCAGGTGGAGGGAGGCGGAGGAGGAGGATGAGGAAGATGTGAAGGAAAAAGAGGTGACGGAGGAGGAGGAGGAGGAGGATGAGATGGGGAGTTTGGGTCGGCACGACACGTCAGCCAACAGGTAACAGTGAGCAGGCAACAGGAGGAGGTGAAAGACGAGGAGAAGGAGGTGTCCTCTAGTGTCGTCCCGTGTCGTCCCCGTCATCGTGTCCTCCCGTGCCGGCCCCTTCCTCTTATGGTGTTCTCCCGTGTCGTCCTTTTCCTCGTTCTCTCTCGCCTCCTGGGCTAGCGCTCCCTTTCGGCTTGCGACGCCACTTTACACACCAGCCCTGCGGAGCAGGGCTGGCTTGACTCCGATCGAGGATCCCTTCAGCCATCAGGAATCAGGAATCAGGAGGGGGTGGAGGAGGCTGAGAAGAAGTGGACGCCGGCGAGGTGAGAGAGCTGAAGCAGCGGATCTCGGCCACCGGGGCGCGCGCCTCGGGAAGCGGAGCGGGCCCGCGGCGCACCGCGCGCGTCGGCGCGAGGTCGCCGCTCTTCCATGAGTTCCAGCGTCGCTATTGCGAAGGCTTTCGGCCGGTCCTGACGGGGGACGACGACGACGACGACGACGACGACGACGACGACGACGACGACGACGACGACGACGACGACGACGACGACGACGACGACGACGACGACGACGACGACGACGACGGCGACGGCGACGACGACGACGACGACGACGACGACGACGACGACGTCGACGACGTCGACGACGACGACGACGACGTCGACTGCGGCGTCGACGGCGGCGGCGGCGACGGCGACGCCGACGGCGCTGGCGACGGCGACGGCGACGGCGGCGACGACGACGACGAGGACGACCGACGATGACGCTCGGGAGTTGAAAGCTTCCCCCAGGGAGGGGTACTCTCCCTCCCGGGGGAGGCGGGCACAACTCGGCGAGGCCGCCGCTGTTCCCTGAGACCTGGGCGTCGCTGTCTCCCAGCGCCCGGCGCTCTCGCACGGAGTCGTGGCGAAGCGTCCTGGCTTGTTTATAATTAGGCCCAGCAAAGAATGTACTAATAATATTTTGTGGTCTACGCGAACTGTTCTAATAATATTTCTGGCCGACAGTGTCTTGTTTCAACACGTCGGTTTTGTTTTCTGAGAACATTAAGTTGGTTCTGCGAACATTTCTGAAATTCTAAGAATAACTTTTCGTGGTGGGACTATAGGAATGCTGGGACGGTCGGTCCCTGCTCAATCACAGGCACCCAGACATTCGGCCACGCGCAGACGGGTGTAGGGGGAGGGGGGAAGCTTCTTAGAAGCACCCCTGCTTCTTCCACGGCGCGGGCCTTGTCTGCAGCTGTAGGGTCAGCGCCTTCCAAGAGTCACTGTCGCCTGAGAAACCTTCCCCACTCCCCCTAGTCCCCTTGTGCGCGCCGCCAAGACATGCTCGCGTCGTGGAAACATCAGGAAGGGAGGTGTTTGGCAACTTTCTGCTTATAGGAGCTCTCACCGAGCCCTGGGACGGTCGACAAAGACGGCTCGTGATGAAAAACCGGTCTCAGGGAAAGGGTCGGGACTTCCAATGGACCCTGCATTGAAAAAGCCAGCATCTCGCGGACTTCCAGGGGGCTGTATTAAAAAAGCCAGGACGTCGCAGATTTGGGGACATATCCCGCTCGAGATTGTTCCAAACCATCCTGTGGCGAGAGGAAAGAGGGCCCTGCGCATGCTCCGGATTTGGAGCCACAGTATTTTGTTGTATTGTTTTTTTGTCAGGGAGGGTTGGCCGGGTCGCAGCAAGCAATATGCCGGCACCCCCGCAGTCCGTGTCAAAACCAATGCAAAGTGGTCGCGGGGCGCCCGTGCATGCGCCCGATGTTTAACAAGGGATGGTGTGGGGGGGCTCTTTGGTCTGGGTTCTGGCTGCGGGTCGCCTGGGGGAGGGAATGTTTATTGATCAAGTTAGCCAGCTCGAACGAGCCAGAGGGTTCTGTCCACTCCCACCCGCCCTCCCACTACATAAGAAGCAAGTGCGTCGCGTCCGACGCCTGTCGCTCATCTTATATCGTGGGCGTCTAGACGTACAGCGCGCGTCATGAGCTGCGTCCTATTTCCGCCGCGTATTGAACAACGTCGACGAGAAACAACGACGCGCGCGATGTACGCCGCGCCCCGCTCCGGCCTCTCATGTTGCATCGTCGGCGACAACATGTCCAGCGCGCGGAAGTGCGCCGCGTCTCATTCCAGCCACGCGCGTTGCATCGCCAATCGTTTCGCTCCTGCCGCGCATGGAGGAGGAGGAGGACGAGGAGGAGGAGGTTTTTCTTACGTGGACACGACAACGGGCGCGCCGGCGGCGAACCGCACTTGCTTGAAGCATTATGACTTGCCGCCCGCCCAGCTCCTCAACCCGACGGGCCGCAGCCCGAAGCGTTGACGACAAGAAAGCCCATATTGACGAGCAGGCGTCCGCGCCGCGTCCCATTCCCGCTGCGCGATTCGCAGCGCCGACGAGGAGGAAATACATGGTGTCGAATTAGATGTTGATTTTGTATTGTTATTGATAGGTAGGACGCGGCGACCCACTTAGGGCCTCCAAGCGACGTTCATTATGTCATATGGTCGCTACATGTTTCGCATCTCGACGACATTCTGGCGAGACAAAAGTTTAGTTTGAGTTTTTTTTTCCACAGTTAGGACGACGGGGTTGCTATCGGCCGGCTAGGTGGGGGTTTGGGGGTATTTAATCATCAGAAATATGGATAGGGAACATAAACAAACCTTCGCTATAGGAAGGGGGGGGGTTGGAAGGAACCTTTTTCTTTATTGCTTGGGGCATGGCGGGCGTCATGGCCCCCGCCCCCCCCCCCCCGTGACGTAACGCTCCCCCCCCAGTGCGCTCCGGGCACTGCCGCCGTGCGCATTGGGATCCGCGTAGGTGTCCGCGTAGGAATCCGCATAGGCGTCTGGTCCGCAGGCGTCGTCGTCGTCGTCGTCGTCGTCGTCGTCGTCGTCGTCCGTCCTCGTCGCTCGTGGTTCGTAAGTCTGGGCCGGTGACGGCAATCATCTGGGGGGGAGGGGGTCGATGACGTCACGTTTCGCGCCGGCGGCGTCTGGGAATGCTTGGGAATGACGGAGGACGGGTAGCACGAACATGTAGGTGGCGATATGCACCACAACGCCTGTGTACATCACACTGCCCGCGTGCACCACAGCGCTTGTGTACACCACGCCGCCGATGTACACCACAGCAGCCGCGTGCAACACAGCGTCAGTTTGTGCCACCGTGCCTGCGGGCACAGCAGCTCTTGTGTACACCACAGCGCTTCCGTACACCACATCAGCCGTGCGCAACACAGCACCAGTGTACACCACAATGCTGCGTGCATTGCAGTGCCTGTGTACGCCACGGCGCGTGTGTGCACCATATCAGCCGTGTGCAACACAGCATTATTGTTGTGCATAGAATTTCAGAAGGAATCTTTGTGACAAAATGGAGCGCGTGTGGAGTCCAGAGGAAACAATGGAAAACAATTCTTATGGACGAAGGCGCGCCGCTGGAATTTAAGAGTCCCCCCGAATCCGCCCGCATCACCCTAACTCCCATTTGCGTCCAGGAGGCTCCAGCTAAACTGGCCGTCCGAGACCCAAGTGGATCGATTCAATCGACCATTCTGCGGTGCACGCTGAGATGCGCACGTGCGTTGTAACGCCAAGCCGCACGACAGTGGGTAAGAAGGAGGAGGAGGAGGAGGAGGAGGAGGAGGAGGAGGACGAGGACGAGGACGAGGACGAGGACGAGGACGAGGACGAGGAGGAGGAGGAGGAGGAGGACGAGGAGGACGAGGAGGAGGAGGACGAGGAGGAGGAGGTGGAGGTGGAGGGATGAGGGAAAAACGTCGCATTCGATTATCATAAGTTTCCGGGCGTGACGTTTAGTTGTCCGCAGCAGATCCTGACGGACATGCTCTTTCTATCTGTCCTATGCACGCATGCACCGTGGTGTACACCAGCGCTGCGTTGCACGCGGATGCTGTGGTGTAGAGGCGCTGTGGCGTGCACAGGCGCTGCGGTGCAAGCAAGCACAGTGGTGTACACAGGCGTTGTGTTGCACATGGCTGCTGCGGCGTATGTACACCAGCGCTGTAGTGCTCCCATGTATTGTGGTATACGCGGGCGGTGCGTTGCACACGGCTGTTGCGGTGTACGCAGGCGTTGTGGTGTACACGCGCGGCGTGGTGCACGCGAGCGCTGTGGTGCACACAGGCGCAATGGATCGCCACCTTACATGCTGCTCGCGTCGTCGTCGTCGCTCGTCGCTCGTCGCGTCGTGCGCGCGGGCGCGGCTGTGGTGCCGGAGCCACACGGCGGGGGGGGCGTCACGTCATACCCCCCCCCCGCCCTCCCCCCTCCCGCATGACGCCCGTCATCGCCGAACATAAAGAAACGCGCTCAAGAAGAACCCCCTTAAACCATTCACGCCCTAAAGGGTTGGTGAGATTTTGGCGACTTGTTTGATCGGTTTGTGCTCTGTCAGACGGTAGAAACCCCACGTTCTGATTGATCAGGTTCGCGTAATAGAAAATAGTAGAGGATATTGCAACTTCTTCAAAAGCAAACACATCTGTATCTGAGCCAAGTGCAAGTTTGAAAATACGGCTGGCGTCCATGAACCACCCGATGTTTGAACATGGCCGTTGATCGAAATTTAAGGAAATAATTATCAGGCACGTCAGGTGCGGAGGATGGGCGGGGTGGCCGATTCGCAGCCGAGGCCAAGTTGCCTCCAGGCCTGTCCGAGAAGTCGGAGCTGGTGGAGTTCCTGCGGTCGGCGTTGGCAAGCGCCGGCGCCGCGCCGCCTCCAGCCGAGGACAGTCATGGCCCGTGTCGGCGCAAGGTTGTCACGGAAAATTCAGAGCAGATGCTTTTCGTTTGCTTCGGCCCCTGGGGGCCGTATTCAGGTTTTTTGGGCCATGAGCGAAAACAGGGTGAGAAACCCGCCCTGGAGAAGGGGTCGAAATTCCCTGGGGGATTTTATTTGCCATTGGGAAGAAAACGCGACGTGGGAGGTCTGGCTGTGCAAGTCAAGCTGTGTGAGTCGGTAAGGCCTTTGCGACGTTGAGTGCAGTTGGCGCGGCGCAGATGGGGGCGTCTTCTGTTGGAGGCTCAGGGCGGTGTTCGGGATCAGTTTCTCATCGCATAGTGTTTAATGTTTGACCCGTCGCGTACCCCCTCCGGCCCACCCAGAAATTCTGGGTCCGAAACGTGACACCAAATTCCACGCCGTCACAACGATGGGGGTGGGGGGCTGCGACTTGCGAAAATGTCGCCGCTTTCGAGTGCTGCTTGGGGGGCCAGCTATGGTGGACAACCGCCGCAAATCCAAAGTAGACCTCGCCATCCCTTGGGGGGGCGGGGGGGGGCTTCGATTTGCGAAATTGTCGCCACGTTCGAGGGCTGCTTGGGGGGGCAGCATAGCGATATGCTTGGGGGAACAGCATGCCGCGCGCAGAACTACATGCGCCCATGTCACGCCATCGCCTCTGCATAACGTCTCCCAAGCTACTCATGCCCCGCATTTGCGCAGGGGTTGGGTACGTCGCCAGGGTAATATTTGAGGCCTCCTGGAGCGTTTGGAGGCATCTTGAGTGCCTCGTGGATCCTCTTGAAGCCTCTTGCGGGCCTCTTGGGAGCCTCATGGAGGCCTCTTTGGCGCCTCTTGGGGCAGTCTGGGTGCCTCTTTGGGCCATTTTGGGGCGCTCTTGGAGCCATCTTGGGGGACATCGATCAAAAAAGAGAGGTTTCCCAATTACTGCTGCCACTCAGGAACCCCAACAATAATCTGTTGGGCGCTCTTGGAGCGCTCTTGGGGCCGTCTTGGGGCTCTCTTAGGCCTCTCGTGGGGCCCTCTTGGGCCATTTTGGAGCCATCTTGAGGCCTCGGAAGGCAATCGAAAGCGAACGAGCGACGATGCAACACTCCTTTATTTTCCTTGGCTTCTTAGAGGCCTCCTTGACGGTCTCGGAAGCCTCTTGGAGCTGTCTTGGAGCGGTCTTGGGGCCTCTTGGAGCATTTTGGGAGCCATCTTGAGGCATCTTAGGCTATGTTGAGCCATCTTAGAGCTCATCATGGGCTCTCCGAGGCGCTCTTGGGGCCGTCTTGGGTCTTTGGCCATTTTGAACGCTCCAACTACCAGCGAAACCCCATTGCAGGGGTAAGCCCGTCCCCGAAGGGGAAGGAGGGGGTTGGAAGAGGATCCTCCTGTAGACCACCTACGCCCAGAGGGCTCTATTCGGGTTTAAAGGATTCGGGACTCTTGGCGGGATCCTTGGGTGGCCCAAAAAGCACTTGGAGCCCTCTTGTGGCCATCTTGGGGAGTCTGGGAGGTATGTTGGAAGCTATCTTGAATCATATTCGGCTATCTTGAGCTATCTTGGAGGCCATCTTGGAGCATCAGAGGCCCTCTTGGACGCATTTTGGGCGAAGCAGCTGCCCCCTCGACACCTCTGTCACCCTCCCATCCAGGCCCCTGGGAGGGGTAGGGGGAGGGACAAACCCAATCACCGGGAAGAAGGGGGCTGTGGAAGAGGAAACAATAACACGTTAGACCATTTACGCCCAGATGGTTGTTGGGCGTAAGCAGGCATGTTTTTTACATCAGGAGTTGGGCCTCTTGGGGTTATCCTTGGCAGGTTCCGTGGCCACTTTGAGGGCAGTCTTGTGGCAGTCTTGGGGCCTCTTGGGGTACGCTGGACGCCGTATTGTACCATCGGGGTGGTTATCTGGGCTGACCAGGGCCTTCTGACATCTCCGCCCCTTGGGCGCTTAATTTCGGCAGCCATCCGGGACGATTCGGGCACCCACGTGGCTCCCGGCGCGGCACAGCTGCAGTAAGGCATCCCGAGGCCGTGACTTCTCGTCGGCCCTTCCCCTTGGCATCGCTCGGACGTGTGCGTTTTTGTTCGGCAAGAACAATCTAGGAGCAGTTTGGATCAGCTTGAGAAGCATTCGCGCACGAAGCCTGAAACTGCGCAGGGAATGGACATCTGAACGACGGCAAGTCCCGCGGTGGCTCCGCCCAGGACGCGGCCGGGGCGACCGTCTTCCTGTGAGGCGGCGGGCGCCGGCGCGAGCTCCCCGTTGGGCGAGTGCCGGAAAATTGCCCCCCCCCCCTCCCTCCCCCGTGGCGCGGGATGGGCAGCGAGCTCACCAGCACCGCCACGGAGAGGAGGGGCCCGGCTTTGGGGGCGGCGTCCAGCCAGGCTTCCCAGATGGGGCTCGAGCAGGTGGGAGTCGGAGTCGGTGGATCGGGCAGCATCGTCGATGCTCGAGCAGAGGCTGAGCGTCCTGTCCGTGCCTAAGGGCCCACCAAAGAATGTTCCAAGAACCTTTTAAAGTGTGCACGCAATCTTCTTATAGCATGCCTGGTTGAGGTCGACTTTTTGTTTTTTGTTGGCTTTGTATGTTCTGAGAGCACCGTTCGTGTCGTCAGAAATTTCTTGGGACCCAAGAACATGCTCGCGGTAGCCCTATCATAATGCCAGGACGGTCGGACCCTGATCAAGACGTTTCGGCGATGCGGCTCGATGCCGAACCCGATGTTCTCCACGCCGACGTCCCCGATGCATCGTCGATTCGGCGCGATCCTCCGACCCCATCTACTCGGACCCCATCTAGGAGGCCTCTAGTCCAAGGGGAGGTCAGGACCAGCGGGGGGGGGAGGGATCGCATTGCCGGGGTTATGAGATCTCCCAGATCTCATGGCCCCCTTCCCCTGCTTTCAATACGTTCCCTGGCCCCGCCTCCGTGGGACACCTGCTTCGCGCCATGATGCGTCACCCCCCTTCCTTCTGGCGCCCCCTCTTCGGCGCATTTGATTGACCCTAGGATCGAGGGTCGAGGATCGGCGATCGAGGTTCGTGAGCGTCTCTGCCCCTCCCTGGGCCACCTCGTCGCCTCGGCTGGGTTCGCCTTGAAGTCCCGGCCAGGGCGCATCCCGGGAAAGGTCTGGGGATCGAGATTGAGGCCCACATCCATGAAGGGGAGGAGGAGCACCAAGACATCCAACGTTTTGCACAACATGAATGCAGAGTTTGTTCCCCGTTTTGGCCTTTGGAGGCCGCTGGCCAGCCCCAGGACCGTCAATAAAACGACTCGGGATGGTAAGCGTGCCCTGGGGAAGTGGTCGTGACTTCCAGGGGCCCCGTACCGAACCCACCGGGACGTTGGATGTCTGGGTAGGAGGACAGCGTTTCTCCACTATTGCCCTTGCCCATACCCCCGATGTACTTATTTCGATTCGGCCCCCCAGAGGTCGGACCCCCTTCCTGGGGACCGGCTTGTCATCCCCAGCCATTTGTTGGCGGTCCCAGGGCCCGACAGGGCCTCCTCGACCCTCCGAGGCTGGAAGAAGACAACGCTGCCGTGTGCCACGACGCGATGAGGTCAACGCTCCACGATTGCCCACTGAGGTGCAGGGGGAGGCCGGGGCTCCCAGAGTGACCCCGGCCGCGGGCGTCCGCTGGCCGAGGGGCCCACCTGGTGCGCCTCGGCCCCGGCTGCGGGTGCCCTGGCCCGCTTCCTGGGGACCGTCTTTACGCATGGCGATGGCAAGGGGGAGGGGGCTGGTCACGTCACGGTTGGCGCTGGCGCCGTCTGGGGCTGCTGCCTGCGGGTGGCCAGTCCCCAGGCGGCGCCGGCGCGAATAGTGGCCGTCTCGAAGCAGAGGCGCATAGGCTCCAGGCGCAAGCCATGCGGAGGTCCGCGGGGATACCTCGGATTGGCGCTGGGCCCCCGTGGCGGCGCCTCCGGCGCCACAGCCTGGCGCGCTCCGCGCGTCGGGGGGAGGGTCCAGCGCCGGCCGGTGTGGCCTACGGCCTACCGGCGTGTCCCCCTCGGAGGGTCTGCTCGGGGGTGCGCTGGTCTCCACTGTGGCGTGGCTGCCTGCTGCTGAGCAACCCCCCCCCCTTGCCTCACGTCGGGCACGTCCCTCTACAGGTGGAATATGCAAGAATCGTCAGAAAATAGTCTGGGGACGATATTCGTTGTTTGTGTCATTTTTGAGTAGTGTTTGATAATTTTGCATTTTCCTTACAAAATCCGCCTGTAGGCAGACATGCCCGACCTAACCTTTGCCCGAATCAGACCGCACGTGCGCCCATTTTGTGCGTTTCCATTGGTGCGGGCACGATTGCACAGCCCCATTGTGAGCGAGCGTGGCTTCATCCATTACAGCTGTCTTACGTTTCTGGGTTTTTGGGGTGGCCTCCTGGAGCGCTCTCGTCGCCGCAGCTGGGATTCCCAGGCGCAGCTCATCCTCCGACAGGCCTGGGTGTAGAGGCGTAGTCGTTCAGACGTTGCAGAGCCTCTTGGAGTCCTCGGGGGGGGGGCGCAACTATACAGGTGTGCCGGGGGGGGGGGGGGGGGGGCGCAACTATACAGGTGTGCCATGTTTTGCGGCGCTCGTCTGCCGCGCCGTTCTGCTTTGCCAATCCACAGGACAGACCAGCGTTGTAGACCAGCGCGGCATCCCCCTTGGAGCCCCTCGTGGGGCGTCTCGGGGTCCTTTCGTGGGCATTTGGGGCGTTTTGGGGGGCCCTCTTTGACCGCGTTGAGGCCGTGCTGGGGCCTTCTTGGGCCGTCTTGCGGCAACCACGATCCCACTCCTCCGCGTTGGCGTTTCCGTTGACACGTCGGCCTTCCTGGCTTCTCGTCGGCGAGCCCCGGTGGCGGGCAGTCTGAGAAGGGCTTGTGGCCATCTGAGCTCAGGAGGGGGAAAAAAAAACACACAGACACAGTTAATCGTCGATTCCCCAGAAAATGTGGGAAAATACAGGCAGTGGGGGGGAAGACAAAAACCAAGAACAGATGTGAAAAACACGGGATTCTTGTTGTTTGTGTGTATTTATGTGTGTGTTCCACGGCCCTTCAGTAAGACTCGAGTAAGCCGGAGCTCGGGTTTGCAGACGTTCTTTGACGAGCGCGCCCCGGGTTTTGACGGTCCAGTTCTCGTGGGACGCTTGCAGCGGGAGCTCGCGTCAAATGTCAGATCGGGCTTCGTCATTTCTGCGATGGCCCTGTCAGGCCGACCAAATCCCCTGTGCCCGACTCTTGCGTTGAAGTCGGGCACGTCCCTCTACATGAGGAATGTTCACACATTGTGTAAACATTTTCTGGGGACGATTTTTCTGTTTGTTTTGATTATTTTTGAATGCGTTCTCACTCTTTGTTATTCTTCGTCCAAAAGCGGCCTGCAGGAGGACACGCCCGACTTTGCCGCACCCGAGTCTCCCCGATCTGCTCCGAAGACGGAAGGGGGTCGCGCTCGGACGGCGCGGGGGTTCCGGAAAAGCCCCGCCGCCCTCCGAGGGAGGCCTGCCCCCCTTCTCGCGCGCCCCCTCTGCGGCGCGCCGCCGAGCCCGCCTTTTCTCGGGTCACTACATTGAAGTCGGGCCTGTCCCCCCACAGGGAGAATATCCAAAAATAGTTATACACCCTGGGGACGGTTTTCGATCTCTCTCTTTCTCTCTCCCCATGTTTGAACTTGTTGGGGGTACTTTGCATTCTCCCTCCAAGATCTGCCTGTAGGAGGACATGCCCGAGACGCTCGCTTCTCAGGCCGATTCTCGGGCCCCTTCTCGGGCCCCGCCACGGCCGTTCGGGAGATTCCGGCCTGCCCTGGAACGCCTTCGGCGAGGCGCAGCCGCGGCATGCACCCCGAGGCGGGGAATCCGCGGGAGACCTAAGGAGCTCTCGCCCGACCACCTCGAGCCTCGAGCGAATCTTGCCCCCCCCCCTCTCGGGCTCGCCGCCCAGCTTCGAGATTCCCCCGGGGAGGCGGCCCCGTGGCAGCCAGCGGCGGCGAAGCGCCAGCCGTGGCGGCTCGGGGGTGGGCACCCACGCCCGCGCGCCGCTCGAAGCAGAGCGGGGCCCAGATGTCCATCACACGTGCTGGTGAGGAGGGCCGGCGGCGGAGTCCGAACCCTACCCTCGCCGAGCAACGATTCAGCAGGCCATTCGATGGGCGGCAGGGGTAGGGCTCGGAATGCGTCGAGCACGGGGCGGAGTCTGAGCCTTGCCCCCGCCTCCAGTCGATTCGGGAGAGTCGACGGCTGGTGGGGGCAGGGTTGTTGGAGTCCGACAGCGGCGAAGCTTCCTGGCTTGGGCTCACCAAGTATTGTTCTGATCATCCCTGGCGGTTGCCAGGAAATGTTATTCAACATTTCTGGCTGAGACAGTCTTGGCTTAAGCAATCGGATCCATGGTATGAGAACCTTGTTTTTGCATTCGATGGATCTGAGCAGGTGCCCGTGGTAGGCCCACAGGAATGTCAGGACGGTCGGCCCCTGCTCCAAGGAGGAAAGGGAGGAGGAGGAGGAGGAGGAGGAGGAGGAGGAGGAGGAGGAGGCAGAGCAGGAGGAGGGGCCGAGTTCGCCAGGTCGGACGAGCCAGCGCGCGCCCCGCCCACCGCCCGCCCGCCCCTCGCATGACACGGGAGCTGAGGAGTCCGTCGTCGTCGGCGTCGTCGTCGGCGGCGTCGGCGGCGTCGTCGTCGTCGTCGTCGTGGCCATCGTCGTCGTCGTCGGTGGCGGCTTCGGCGGCGCCGTCGTCGGCGTCGGCGCCGTCGTCGTCGTCGGCGCCGCCCGGATCTGCGGAGTCCCGGCAAAGCGCGTAGGCCCAGGCGTTGGGCGTGGCTTAATGGGGGGGTCACAAATGGGGGGGTCAGAAAAGGTCCCCTTTCGTGTCCCTTTCGGGCCCCTCCAGAGCCCCAGGGGGCTCGTTTAGGTACCATTTGGGTACCTTTTCGGACCACACTCGCCGCCCCCCATTTATGACCCCCCCATTACGCGGCGCCCAAAGGCGGCCCGAGGCGCACCTGCCGCCCGACGGCCGCGGGGAGCCCCGACGCCCGCGGCCGGCGCCGCGCGCGGCGTGGGCCGCCGCCGGGAGGCGGGGCCCCCGGGGAGCCATGGCGCGGTGCTGCGGGCACGGCTGGGGGCAGGCGGCGCTCGCCTCGGGGGAGCCCAGGCGTCAAGTGAAGTCGGGCCTGTCCCTCTACAGGGGGAATATTCAAAAATAGTAGAAGAATCGTCTGGGGACTATATGTTGTATTTTTTGTGTTTAAAGCAATTGTTGTTTTTTTCCTCTATTATATTTCTTCGCAAATCCCCCTGTAAGGGGGACGCGCCCGACTTAAACGTCGAGCAGTGGCGAAGCGTCCCGGCTCGCCTATTGGCCCACCAAAGAATGTTCTGGTATTTTTTCGTGGTCAATGTTATCCGACAATTTCTGGGCGATGAGATTGTGTATTAGCGCATCGGCTTTACGTTCTAAGAACATTGTTCTTGTTTTTAGGAAGTTCTGGTTTACGAAGAACATGTCGTGGTAGGCCTACAGGAATGCCGGGACGGTCGGTCCCTGCTCAACTAGTTGCCTTCCATTTCTATGATTGTCGGGAGGGGGGGCGTTTTGGAGCATCGAAAAAATACAGATGGCCACCCCCCACGACCCGAAGTCCGGGATTCGGGTTGGGTTTGGGGTGGTCTGGCAAGTAGTCAGGCGTGGCGACCTCACCCCAAACATGTTTTCGTCGTGGAAAAATCGGGGCGGGTGGGTGGTTCGTCGTGGGGGCCCTTGCCAGGCCCTGGGGCCGTCGAAATATAATTCAGGCTCAAAAGCCGAAGCCGCGGAAAGTGTTGGCATTTCTTGGGGCCGCATGTTGAGAGAAAAAAAAGGACGTCGGATGTCTGGGACCGTCTGTTGAGTTTGTGGGGATACATGTTCACCGCTCGGTTTTCGGACTCGGGTCTTCCTACGAGGATGACTCGGGCGACCAGCGCATCGAGGGTCCTAAAACCGTGCTGTGATGGACCGTGCGGTGAAGTCTCTTTTGGGATTTCGAGGTCACCGCATGGTCTGTCACCACACGGTCTTTGGATCCGCAAGCTCGCCCCCGCCAAGCGGCGGTCTCGGCGGGGGCGGCGGCGAATCGCTTCGGCGAACTCGACGACGGCGACGATCTCAGCGGCGGCGTAGCGGCGGCGGCGATCTTGATAGCGACGACTTCGACGACGACTTCGACGAGGGGGGGCGAGAACGACGACAGCGAAGACGACGACGACGAGTTTGATTAAGATTTTGCTATTGTGGCAACGGCCTCGGCTTGCAGTCACAGACAGACTGGGAGACGGTTCACGGACAGGTCGTGACGCATGGCGTCGAGAGTTGCTTACCATGACTCCACCAGGTGGGCGTGGCGCGCACTTCCACTGGCAACCAGGAGAGAACCCACGCCAACGCGGACAGCGACAGCAAGGCGGCCAGCGCAAGCGCTGGGAGGACGACGCCGTCAAGTTCTTCCAACAAAGCAACCCCGACCTGCACCTAACGCTAACGCCGACCACAAGAGGCCAACCAAACGACTTCACCTGGATTCGCACGGCTCACGGCATCTCCACTTGGTCGACAGTCGAAAGGCAATGCGTGCATCACGTAACGACAATCCGCCGACATCCACACCCAGGACTTCCTTCCCTCCTCCCCCATTCCGTCATCAGTTTTTTCTTGTCTCGCTGATGATATGCATGTTTGCGTGTAGTCCATACGTACAGGTTTCAGGAGGCCGCGGCCTCCCCCACCAGGCCTTGAGTAGGCCTGGACAGCTGTCAGCAGTAGCGGTTCGTTCGTTCGTTCGGCCTCGGCTTGCCGCTGGGGTCGCTTCTCCTGCGTTCCTCCCTCTCCCCACTGTTTAGTGTTTTGCAGGGGCTGTAGCAAATCGGGCAGCGTAATCCGGGGTATCCCCAGGTGCAGCTGGCTCAAGCTGGATTCGCTTCGAAATCCTAGTCAGAACGCACCCCAGGAGAGGTCCGGGAAGTAGCGGTATCGGTACCTTTTTGTCTCCCCAGTTTGGTGAATTGGGCGTGGAGCCTTGGCCGTTCGCGCGGCCAAGGAATTCAGGCCTCCCTGCCAAGCAGAGCGAGGGGCGGGCAGGCCTTCGTGCGCCCGACAAGGACGGTCCGCCAGGATTCGTTCGGGCGCGCCCCCCCGACGAACCGGTTTTTGACGGTTAACAACTAGTCAAACGTATTTTTCAAATCAAAAAATGTTCACAAAAACATTCCCCCTGATTCGTTTAAGAACTATGTTTGGAAAATTCCTCCTGTGGAGGGACGCGCGCGACTTAGCGCCAGGACTGCGATCCTGACCTGTTTTCGTTGCGGCCTCAGAACCCAGGAGGCCGACACTTGTCAGCAACAGCGAGTCGTGTTTTCTTCCAGGAGCCAAACGCGAGGAGGTCAGCATGTTCATTTCGCTCTCCTCGACGTCGTGGCCCCCCTTTTCGCCTCAATGTGGACGCCCAATGCGCCAGCGCGATTATCCAGAAAGGCTTGTTGGCCTTTTGCATTGGATCGGCGATGCGCCTTGACCAAGAGAGGGGGGAGTGTGTAAGGCCTGAAGCTCCTCCTCCTCCTCCTCCTTCTCCTCCTCCTCCTCCTCCCTCCTCCGTTTCCTGTTCTGGCCTCGGGCCCCGCCACGAGCGAGCGACCTGTGTCGCCCTGAGGATGTTGACGATGGCCTGGATGAGGAGCCCGTCCCCAGGGAAGGGGCCTCAGACCTCTGCGCATGGGGCGCGAGCACGGTGGAAAAGCCACGACGTCGGAGGCCCGGGGACCAGGGGGGGAAGGAGGGGAAGGAGGAGGAGGGGGAGGAAGACGAGGAGGAGGCACCAGGAGGAGGGGGAGGAGGAGGAGGAGGAGGAGGAGGAGGAGGAGGAGGAGGACGAGGAGGACGAGGAGGACGAGGACGAGGACGAGGAGGAGGGGGAGGAGGACGAGGAGGTCCGGGGACCAGGGGAAGGAGGAGGAGGGGGAGGAGGACGAGGAGGAGGCACCGGTCCAGCGGGAGGAAAAGGAGAGCAAGGAGGAGATACGGATACGGAGTGGCTTGGGTCCGAAGACCCAGTTCCGAGAGGGCGAGGGCGGTGGCAGGTGCGCGCACACACGAGTGCACGCACGCACGCACAACAGAGCGACAGGCCATATCTGGCACGCCCCTGGCGTCGCTCGCAAAGGGCACGGAGGTCGCCTCACCGCCGCAGAGGGCCCTTGACTCTGAGGATCTTTCTCGTGGCCTGCAGCAGGGGCGTTGCCAGGACGAGCTGTGGCGCCAACACCACTCGCTGCACCACCGCGACGTACGTTCAAGCATTTTGGACATAAGGCCGAAACGCCGTACACGAATGTACCCTCGACACACTCTACGCTACTCTTTCTCACCAGCTGACGCCTCTTGAAGTTCCGAATGTTGGGACATGTTGATGTTTTTGTGTTTGCCGGTGGTCATTTCTTTGGCCCCGTAAGCACGATGCGCCCTCCTTAGATCTGCAATGCCGTCAGCCAAGGGACCGACGCCTGGCCTGTCAGGATTTGCAGCTGTCATGCGATTTCCAAAAGGGCCCCAGGGAAAGGGACATTGAGACGGGCGATGCCGATTTCTAAGGTCCGCTCGGCTTCGCGGTCGCCGCATGACGCTTTCACCCGCAGTGTTCGGAGTCTCGAATGCAACGCCGCGGTCTCAGGAGCGCCTGTCGCTGGCGTCCCTTGAGGACGCGCATCGCGGCTTGAGGCGCGTCAGCAGCACGAGGCGCATCCGCGGCAGCTCGATCCCCAGGGCGGCCTCGAATGGCCTCGCCGTCGATCTCGGCCCGGAGCGCCGCGCGCGGCCGCGCCAGGCCGCGCGGCGCGGCCGCCGCGGCGACCTGGGCGTCGAGAAACTGCCCCGAGCAGCGCTTGCGCGGCGCGCCCTCGGGCCCCGAAGGCGTGGCCCTCGCGGCGCCCCGCCGCGGAGCGGCGGTCGGGGCGCCAGAGGCGGGGGCGCAGCTCACGGGGGCTCCGCCGCCAGGCGCCACGGACGGGGGCGCAGCAAGCGGGGCCACGGGGGACGCCGACTTCTACGCTGGGCTGTGCCACCGTTCAGGGGGGCCTGGGCGCCACGGACGGGCGCGCAGCAAGCAGGGGCACGGGGGGACGCCGATTCCCACATCTGGCTACGCCCCGTTCAGGGGGCCCTGGGCGCCAGAGACGGGGGCGCAACGCTTGGGGGCAGGGGGAACGCCGATTTCCATGTTTGGCCATACCCCCGTTTAGGGGGCCCTGGGCGCCACAGACGGGGTCGCAGCAAACGGGGGCACGGGGAACGCCGATTTCCACGTCTGGCGATGCACCTGACCTCACGACGTGGGTCGAATGTACCCCCAGCCCACCAGGGAAGGAGCCTCCAGGAGACGACCTGGCGAGCCCCCCCGTAACTTCCGCGCCAGCCGTTGCCTCGGGAAGCGGGAGATGTGGTAGAAACGGCCGACCCAAGCCAGATGTGAATCCCTCGCCGCATTTGCGTGCGTGCCTCGGCGCGAAGCGGGGGGGGGGCCGGGAGGGCGATCGCGCGTTCCGCGTCGCAATTTGCGCCTGTGTATTGCCCTGCCACGAAACGCCAGGCAAGTGCGAAGCCTTGCGCCCTGCGCGTCGCCTGGCGACGCAACGCGCCCTCTGCGGCGCCCTGCCGCGGGAAGGCGGGCGTTCGGCTCCGCGGGGACATGGCCCCCCGAGCCTGGCCCAGCGGCACAGGAGGCGACCACGATGCCCAGCAAGGCCGCCTGCGGACCAATGCCAGCGCAGTAGGCACTGGCAATGCTGATTGCGCCCCTGAAGGGTGAAGCATCTGCGTCTCCAGATCGCTCGTTATCCGAAAGGCTTCGCCTTCCTCCTCATATATGATCCTTCAGGGGACCCTGGGCGCCGCAGACGGGGGCGCAGCGCACGGAGGGCACGTGGAGAAGCCGAAGCCCCCGTTTGGCTAGACCGCCGTTTAACGAAGCCCCCGAGGCGAGGGCGGCAGGGCTGTCGGCGGAGCGGGGCCCCGCGCTGGGCCCCCGAGAGTCGGCGGCGATCGGGGCTCAAGACACGGGGGTCAATGCAAACGGGGGTCAGCCAGGGCACCGGATCCTGCAGGATCCTGCGAAGACCCCCTCTGGTTGACCCGAGTTAGCGAGCCGTTCGTGGCCGCGAGGCGGCGCGCCTGCGAAAACCTGCGTTGCATTTTTGCTGCTCTTGCATTGCAGTTTTTGGTTTCCCGCTGACCCGGGTCTGGATTGACCCGGGTCAGAAGATCCTCGAGGCGAGCGATGGGGGGGAAGGGAGGCAGAAAAGGCCTTTTCGGGATCAGCCACGCGCAGAAGGGGGGTAGGGGGATTAAAAAAGGCTTCCTGGAAGCGCCCTGCTTCTCAGGGGGCGCGGGCCTCGTCTATGTGTGTGAGGCCGGCGCCTTCTAAGAAGCAGCCGCGTTCTAAGAAGCATTCCCCCCTCCCTCTACCCGTTTGTGCGCGCCGCCAATACGAGGCGGCGGGGTTTCTCAGAAGCCCCCCGCGCCTTCTGGGAAGCGGCGGCTTCGGGGAAGGCTGAGGAAACCTCGCAAAAGGCCAGGGGGCTTCCGAGGCTTCTTATAAGGCCCGCCTCTTCTCACTCCCCCCCCCGCGCGAGCCGCCGATTTGAAGTTAGGCTTGACGACGTCGGCGACGTCGTGGTCGCCTGTCTGAAAGGCGACCACGACCTCCTCGTGGAGTCAATAAATCACGAGGGCTAGTGTTCGGCAGTTTTCGGTCTCCATGGGGTTTCGCCATGCCCCGGGACCGTCGCAAAACCACTCGGGATGGAAAAGGCGGCCGCCGAGAACGGGTCCAGATCTCTGTGGGGCCACGTCGTGACGAAGACACGGCATCGGAGGTCCAGGGAGGAGGAGGGAGAAAACGGAAAATGGGGAAGCCTTTTTTCGGTCGCCGTGGGTATTTTGCATGGGAAGGATTGCGGACAGACAGCCTCCCCAGGTAGTCCCAGCTGGCCTCAACATGCCCGTCGAGCAATCCGGGGCGGTCTCAACACCTTCACGCCACCTCCGGCGGCGTCCGTGAGGCGCTCCGCGCCCCAGGGTTTGGAGTTTGAGACCGCCCTGGACTAGTTACTCGGTGGGCCTGCTGAGCAAAACCTGGTACTACCGCGTCGTGTCGACCGGCGGCGACCACGCCGCCGGCCTTCAAGAACCCCGCTGGCGTTTCAGAATCGGTCGATGTTGAAAGCTTTGACGTTTCAGAAACGGCCGATCGTTCAATGTTGTGCCATCCCAGCGGAATCAGGAACCAACGCCGACGTCGACACGACCCGAACCTGTCGTGCTCGGGGGGGCCGGTTGAGGCAAGCCGGGACTACCTGGAGGGGCTGTCTGTGCGCAACCCAACGGCGCGCACGTCGCAGTACGTGGGACCGCGTCCATTCGCGCTCGAACCGCGCTGCTGACCGGGCTTGGACATCACAACATATTCCAAGAGATGGGTTAAAGCTCGCTGAGGGGCAGCGAACGCGATCTGTGTTTCTGGGGCGACGGAGGAGGGGCAACGGAGGAGGAGGAGAGCAAACCTAAGCAGCCCAATTGTCAGTAAGAGCGAACCTAAGGTCAGAGCTGTTCGCGAATGGAGGTCGTCAAAGTTGATTGCTATTGACGGATCAGGCATCAAGCGCGCCGGCCGAACGTATTGGGATTTGGCATTGGAAACAATTCTGCCCCACCGACCCAGCGACCTCCAAGAGATTGGGTGGATTTTGAGCGTCGGCGGATTCGTGACGAGAACAATGTAATGGCGTTTCGGACATCTGATGTCGGTCACAATTCGATATGCCAAATTGCAGTTGAACTCTAACATTTTTCGGAATAAGTCCAGTTACCTCATGACACCACAGGATTTGCATTGTGATATCAGACGAAAAAAGTTTGGCGCAGCACCACAACCGACAGGACTGCAGTCATACTCTCTACCAGGATCAACATGCTGCTAAGCACACGCGATACGATGAGTACCGCTCGGGATGGGTAATATCCCTGTTCTGGTCGAAACTCTTGTGTCTCAGTCTGAATTTGCCATTTGACACTCTCATATGCCAGTGTATCGTTCTCGATGGTCATTCCAGTGATGGCAAGTAACCCTTCTCTGTTTGCAGTTCTGTGAACTGGAAGCTGTCAGTCCACCGTCATCATTGCTACCGCTGGGGTCCCCGGGAAGGGATCCAGATCTCTTCGGGGGTCACGCTGTACATGAAATTTGTAGGGACAGTTTCCACATTGATTTGCGTTTGAATGTTTGGCGTTGCTTTGCATTGATTAGCGTTGGTCGGCATTGACTCGCATTGCTCGGCATTGCTTGGCGTTCCTTGGCATTATATGGAATTGATTGCATTGGATGGCCTCGCTTTGCTTGGCATTTTTGGCATTACTGCGCATGGCTTGGCATTGCTTGAGATTGCTTGTCATTACCTGGCAGTGCTTGGCCTTGCTTGGCGTTGCTTGGCGTTGGGTTGCTTTGGTTTGATTGGCAGTGATTGGCATGTCTTGGGCCCGCAGTGTTTGGCATTCCTTGGCCTTGCTCTGTGGTGCTTGGCATTGTTTGGCAGTGCTAGGCATTACTACGCAGCCAGGAGCGAAGAGCATGGAGTCTGGACAAGTCAGCAAGGAACCTCGCCCAAGACTGTCTTGCCCACCGGTTCTTCACAAACGAGTGAGAATCCTTTGAGCAAAGCATTTTGGGGGGCGACGAGGTGTCATGGTGCCAACATCACAGAGCGGATTTCGCTCGAAAAATAATGGGATGGGCCTGGCTTGTCCTGGAGAAATTCGTTCCGGATTTCTAAGTGAATTTCGTTCGCATTTGTGTTGGCCAGGAAGGAAGGCTACAACAGATCCACGCGAAATTCGCTTCGTTCTTCGCTCGCCGTTTCGGGATTCTGCGTCGGCAGGAATCCACTCACACATCCCCTGCAGCACGTCTGCAAGGTTGCTGCAGTGCAAGGTGCGCCCGCGGATGTCAGGCACGGCCCTCCGCTCCCGTGGGCCGGGCCCCTCGCCGCCGGCAGGCGGGGGACAGCGACTCGGACAGCGAGTCGTCGAGCTCCGACGCAGGCGCGCCAGCTGGGCGCCTTGGAGGGAGGCGGGGGGTCGGGAGGGCAACGAGGGGGCAACGACAGGGCAACGCTCTGCACGAACGAAATGGGCGCGGACAGAATGGGCACAATGCCCAACAGCGGATCTCGTTCATTTTGAGCAGGACTCGATGTCCACGCCGCCGCGGCCTGTGTCCACTCGAGACAGAAGGCCGCCTGCCCAACAGCAGCCGCTGTTGGTTTGGGACAACATTTGTTGTTGGGCATTGTACCCATTCTTTCCGTACACATTTCGGGCGTCCAAAAACGCATCGGATTCGAGGTTCTAGGTGTTCGGTCGTTTTCTGGGGAGGCGGTGGTCAGAGGCAACGACAGTAGGGGAACGAAGATTGCCATAAACAGAATAACTCGGAGGTCCGCGCGGATTTCTCGGATCGGCGCTGGAGCCCCCTGGCGGCGCCTCCGGCGCCTGGAGAGAGGCGGGGGTCAGATAGAGGGAAGATAAATTACATTGACAAAGAAAAACTCAGAGGTCCGCGCGGACTTCTCGGATCCGCGCTGGCACCCCCTGGCGGCGCCTCCAGCGTCGCCCCTGGCGCGCTTCGCGCGCCAGGGAGTGGGGTGCAGCGCAGGTCCGAGAAATCCGCGCGGACCTCCGAGTTTTTATGTTTGTGTCATTCTTCGTTCCCCTAAATAGGGCAACGTTTCGGATTCGAGGTTCTAGGTATTCGGCCGGTTTCGTCGCTTCGCGGCGGCTTTCCAGCCTCGGGATGTTTTTCGACAGAGGGGCCTCGCCGAGGGCGTTCCCGGGGTGCCGGAGTCGTTCCAAACGGCTGCCGTAGGCACGAGGTATGATTTGAAAACCATGAGGGGACAGGCATAGGGGGCATAGACTCCCAGTCGCCCGTTGATCGCCGATAGGAGCCCGATCGCCCCAACCTGCTCAGGAGCGCACGGATTCATTATCGGGGGCCTAAGTATCGCCGATCTATCAGCGATGCATCGCCGATTCCAGGTTGATGTTGCCCCCTTTGAGCCACGGCGGCCGTTCGGGACGATCCGAGCACCCGCTCCCCAGAACGCAGCCGCTGGAAGGCACCCCGAGGCCAGCAATCCCCGAGAACCCTCGAAATCAACCGAAAACACTGGTTCTCGCTCGATGTTCCCCCCCCCCGCCCCTGAGGCAGCCCCCCATATCGTTGCCCCATCAGGTTGGGGCTGGGCGGAGGAATGAGAGTGCCGTGCGCCGACGCCCAGACCTCCCACGTCATGGCGTTGTGAAGCAGGCGCGATGTGGGATGCCTGGAGGGGCCCGTCTGCGGCGGAATCCGAACCCTGCGGCAGGTTCATACGGCGTTGGCGCGCTGGCGACGCCGGCGAAGGCGATCAAAGTTGAATTTTGCGACGCGCGGGCGAACCGAGGGACTTTGCAACGCCGTTAGACCCGACGGAATTCAATTTTGAACGATCGGGGCCGCGATCGATTCAAGGTTGAACGATCGACGCGAAGTAAAGAAACCTCAACGCGCGTCGGCGCCGCGCGAACCTACCCCTCGCCGATTAAAGATTCGGGCAATTCGACGGGCAGATGGGGCTGGGTTCGGGGTTCGGAATTCGTCGAACACGTGTCGAAATCCGACCCCCACCCCCGCCTCCAATCGATTCAGGAGAATCGATGGTTCGGATGCCGCCACCTAGCCTGGCCCCTGCGCCTGTTCCTGCTCATCCTTTTCCTCGTCGACGTCGCTCGTCTCCACGTCCCCAGACCACGGGCTTCTCATCCTGAGTCGTTTTGTTGGCGGTCCGGGGGCCCGGCAGAGACCCCTGGGGCTGAAATGTGCAAGACAAATTCCGCAAGGGTGTTTGGGCGACTGGCCCTGGGGCGGGGGGGAGCAGACGTCGGCCCCTTGTCGCCGGTGCCGACCTCGCCGACCATGCCCTGGAGCCCCCGACCTGCAGGTCGGAGCGTGGGGTTTCCTCACCGCGGGCCTGTCGCCGATCCAGTGGCGACGTAGCATCGATTGCAGGTCCTCTCGAGCCAACGGGCGCTCAGAGCCAGGGGTCCCACTTTAGATGGATATATGGAGAGTTAGGCCAGCGTTAAGTCGGGCCTGTCCCTCTGCAGGAAGAATATTCAAAAACAGTCAAAAATAGTATGGGGACGATTTGTTGAGTATGGTTTGACAATGTGTCAGCGCATTTTGAGGGTATTTTAATGTTGTCCGTCCAACATTCGCCTGTAGGGGGAAATGCCCGACCTAACGCCAGCTTTGGATCCAGGGGGGCGGTTTCTACCATCGCCAGGGCGCTCCGCAGCGGCGTCTACATCAGCTTGCCTGCTCAGGTCCACGGAGATTCCTTTGAGGTGCCCTCGGCATGCCCTTTTCTGAGATCCGTGTCGATACTATGTTTGGGCTCCTTTGGCATTCCTTGAGTTTCATTTGGGACCCCTCTTTCTCGCTATCTGACTTCGTTGTACTATGTCTCGTTCTCTCTCTCTCTCTCTCTCTCTCTCTCTCCCTCACTCCCCTACCTATACATATATATATAGATGTCGTTCTGTCCTTCCCCTCCCTTCTCTCTCTCTCTCTCTAAACATATATATATATATAGTCATGTGTTGTTGTTGTTGCTGCTGCTGCTGTTGTTGTTGTTGTTGTTGTTGTTGTTGTTGTCTCTCTCTCTCTCCCTCGGTCTCTTAGTTTCGCTTTCGCACGAACTCTGTTTGTCATCTGTCTCTCTCTCGTTCTCTTTCCCTTTTTCTGTGTCAGTATCCGTCTCTCTCTCTCGTTCTCTCTGGTCTCTTCTTCCCTTTCTAAGTATCCTTTACTTTCTATATGTCTCGATCTCCATCCACACGTCCCTGGCGTATACTGATCCTCCCGTGTAACCCCGTCCGAATGCTATTCGTCTCTCTCTCTCTCTCTCGTTCACCCCTGTCTTTCGCGCGCACTCTCTCTTCACTCATTGTATATGGTTAGATTCATATGTATATACACGTATTCGTGTATACATATATATATATATATATATATATATATGTGTATAGCGATTGCACGTTTTTTTTTCTTTCTCTCTCTCTGTCTACATACACGCAGGTATCCCTTGATGCATCTCTCCCTCTCTCATTATATCGCTCATTATGCGCATCGCTCGATGGTTGTGGTGCCTCTCTCTCACCTCTCGTTCTCTTTCTCGTTCTCTCTCCCTCCCTCTCTCGCTATACTGTAGTTGTTTTGCTTGGCATGTTTGCTTTGCTCTCTTCCTCTCTGTATATAGAATTATCTCTCTTCCCCGGTATCTGCCCCCGCGCCAATAGCAGATGAGGTGGCCATCCGCTCCGGATTCGGCGCTTCGTGGACAAGCTGTTGAGACCCGAGCAGGACCAGGCGGAGTTCGCCTTTCTGTTGGGGAAGACATGCTCGTGCTTGGGGCGGGGAAGATGGGGGAAGTGGTGCAGTAAGGAGCAGAGCATTGGAGGGGGAGGGGTGCGGAGGTGGAGGGGGAGGCGGAAGAGGGGAGGAGGAGGGAGAGAGTACCAACGGGGATGAATTGGCATCCCGCGTCTCTATTGTTCGCTGAGCTGGTCTCTCTCCCTTTCTCTCGTTATCTCTGTTTCTGTTTCTCTATCTCACTCTCTCCCTCTCTCTCTCACACCCCTGGCGAGGATTCCTTGGGGCGTCGTGTGGGGTTGTCGGAGGCTATCTTGAGCCATCTTGAGGTATTCTGATCGAGCTTGTCTCTCCCTATGGTGAGCGGTGGGCCTTGCAGGCCGAGGGCCGAGGACCCCTGGGCCCCCTTTTAGAAGCCTTCGACGAATCGATCGACGAACGCCAGTGGCGGCAGGCCTCAGAACACCTCGACGGCAAAGGAATCGAGGGCCCTGTTTCGTTGTTCCACGTTTGGGAGCCTGTGGCGTCTCTTGAGAAGGAAGGCCGTCGAGATGTTACAGCCATGGTTAGGCTCGTTGCTGTAGGAGGATACTGGACTGAGGAGAGAAGGCATCTCGCCCAGCTTTCCCCTGATCCTATTTGTAGACGTTGCAGACGGGACCCAGAGTCCACTGTGCACCGAGTCTGGCAATGTATGTGTAATGATAGGTCTGCGTGCCTTGATGTAGTCCAGTCGCAGCATCTGAGGCATGCGGCCACGCAGGAGGCTCATGTCTTTCCTTGTTTCTGGGTGAGGGGGCTTATTCCCAAGGCGTGGTTCCGACTTCCCCCGACCCCCGTTTTTTGGTCGCTCCGTGGCAAGAGGTTCTCGGGGCCCTTCGTACCTGGAGCGTTGCCTGGGGGCCTGTACGGGACCGACGTTTCTGGGGGGCCCGTTGGGAAACATCCTGTTTTAAGAAGGGTTGCCTTCGCCTTTGTTCGCATGGTTCCTGGTGAAGAATTCGAGTGGGAATGTGCTGTCACTGGAGCTGTCGACTCTGAGCGGCAAACTGTCCCGCGTGCAGAGCTTGCGGCGATTGTGGAGTGTGTTCGGTACGCTGGCAGAGCCCAAGATCTGCACGTGGTTTCCGATCATGCTAATATAGTCAAGGCCTTTGCAGGTGGGCGGTCGCAACCTCCAAATTGGCTAATGCTGATTTGTGGCGGGAGCTCTGGGAGCTTCTCGACTCCCGTCCTACCCTTTTTCGCCTGTCCCACATCCCTTCACACCTCCTAGAGGATGCCAAGCAGCGTGAGCGTTTCTAGGATGTTGTTGATTGGGGCCACGTTATTTTGAATTCTCTGGCCGACAGGCTGGCCGATGATCGTGCTTCGGAGATTCAGGTCCCTCCAGACGTCGTGCGCGACCACAACTCGCTTGTGCTTCAGGCCTGCCAGATTTTGACCCGTCATGCAGTCATCATTCTCGAGTGCGCCTCTCTCTGTGCTGACCCCGACAGGCGACGGTTCAAGGGACCCATCGACTATGTTTTGCGTCGGCGGCGCCGGCTCGCCGAGGCTGTTTTGTCTGCCTCCCACAGGTGGACGTTTGCCGATCAGGTGTGGAGGTGCGGTTCCTGCGCCGTGGAGGTTCGGGACGGAGCCCCCGCCATCCGCGCTAGGTTGCGCAGCCTGTGCCCTGCTTCTCTCGAGGAGGAAGGAGGGTGTGTCTCTGCGTGCATTGCGTGTGAGCGGGGGGAGGAGGATAAACACGTCGTGCATCACCAATGGATGAAGCCAGCCAGGCCTTTGCCTGAGCGGTGTGACGCCCTCTGGAGATCTTTGGGGCTCAACCCTTTGCCGTCTAGGGTCGGGTCCTGGGTCGCGGGAAAGCCTGTTCATCAGTCCCATGTGCTCTGGCGCAAGGCAATTTATTTTTGCGGAGCGCGCGGGGCCTGGGCCACCTCTAGGCCTGTCTCCTTGAAGGAGCGATGCCCAGTGGACGAGTTCGGTCCCCACGCCCTCACCCAG